ACAAATTTAACTTTAAAATTGTAACTGGTTTCCAAATAAACATGTTCTTTTCTCTTCTTGGTCATATGTAAGTGAGCGGCTCTGTTAAGCTGAGGATACTTCTCTCTGTAAGTAAGTAACAGAGACATTGAATTTATGGTCCATATTGTTAGATTTATTTATTTTTTATTTATTACTTGGGTTTATGCATAAACATAACATTGTGAAGTGCTCACATACTACTTTTGGCCTTCATAAACATAGTCAGGCATCATAGAGGATTGTGAAAATACAGTATTTTCACTGGAACTTGGTCTTCATTACACTATTTTCTGTTTCTATTTTTGTTTTACTTCTTTAAGTATCTATTTATGCTCAGTGTCAGTTGTCATTTATTAATGTATTCTGCTAATAACGGTTGTTAGATCACTGTCATTTTTGCTACAATTTCACATGTCATTAAATAAAATAAAAAATACCTACGGTAATTGACAACATGTTGTTGTTGTTGTTGTTGTAAGACCAGGCAGATAGAGGGGTAATAAGCAAGAGTAATAAAAAATGTATTCAAATAATATTAATAAAACTAATATTAATGATATAAACACACTAATATACTAATATTAATGAAAATAAACTTTCATTAAAAAGGTTATTTTTAGCATCTTTAGGGTTCTATTTAGCACTAAAAAGGGTTCTGCTATTGTTACAAGCTGAAGAACCCTTTTCTAGTACTGTTTAGAACCATTTTTCTTAAGAGTGTACTTAATAGCATTAAGTTCAGCATTAATGTAGTACTACCTATTACCTATTGAGTATCTAATAGTAAACGTTTACTTACTAAACGGAAGGTGTTTTGTATCATGTTTCTTACATTTTTGCATTATTCTCTTCATTGTCCCCTCCAGACAGACATCTAGGAGCCTTGTCCATATGCATCCTTTATTGCAACACACTAACTTTGGCTCAAGTGTTGGGCCATTTAGTGCTCAAAACAAAAGCACACGTTAATCCTGCAAGAAAAAGAAATGTTAGTTATGATTAATTAAAACTTTTCTTCACATACTTTACAAAGCTAAATAGCAGAATGCACCTTATGGGTGAGTTTGTAATGTGTGTAATTTGGTCTAAAAGTGTTTGTGAATATCTTACCATGCTTACTCGTATGATTTAGTTTCCCTGTGAACTGTTCTCGAAGCTCGTGGTTTTTAACTGATTCACTATTGCAGCTTGATGATAATGCATCACCAAACATGCAATTCAAGGAAGATGTGAAAATACAAGGAGTTGGAAAAAGTCAAGCTCTCAATGAAGACTATATGAAGTCTGGCTATGACAGAGGTCATCTGGCGCCGGTCTACCAGGCAAACTCACAAAGCTGTGCTGATGCCACCTTCACTCTCACTAATGCTGCTCCACCAAACCCCACTTTTAACCAACAGCCATGGAGGAAACTAGAAGGAAACATTGCAAAAGAACTGTCTGAGCAATGTCTACCAAAACGTTATACTGCTTACATTGTGACAGGGGTGGTACCAGGTGCAAGTAAAATAAATGGCAGAGTGAATGTGTCTAGTCATTTCTGGACTGCATTCTGCTGCTTGGACAACAATAACAAATGTCAGATCTCAAAAGCATTTATTGGAGAGAATAAGAACATTCCTCCCAAAGAAAAGACTGTGAAGGATTTAGAGACCGAGTTGGCAAATCTTTATAAAGTCGAATCATTTGAGTTGTTTAGCCCTACAGAACACCCAGCAAAGAAACAAAGAAAATCACAAAACAATGAAAAAAAACCTCTTTCAAAACAAAGCTCTATTGAGCAATTGTCTGAAAGAGAAACTTTACCAAAGTTTTCAAAAACAGTGTTCGTGGCTTAAAGGGGACATTGGATGCAAAATTCACTTTTACATTGTGTTTGCATATAAATGTATCTTAGCAGTGTGTGGACACGACCACCCTACAATGATAAAAATCCGTTCACTCCTTTTTTTTTTTTATAATCCCCCAAAATCCCAAACAGTCTCAATTATCAAGCAAATCTGTATGTGAGAGTGTGTGTGAAAAAAGCAGATGTAACCCCCTTTGTAATCCTTAACATTTTAATAAGTAACTGTAATTTAATTACACATTTTTTCTCAGTAACTGTAACTGATTACAATTACTTTTATTTTGTAATTAAATTACGTAATTCCGTTACATGTAACTAGTTACTCCCCAACACTGGTTATCAGTTAAAGAACTCCCAACTTTATACCCATTTGTCAAATTCCTCTAATTCATAGATGTTTAAATGTAATTAATAATTGAAACAATAAAAATATGTATAAATGACTTATATCATATATTAAACTACATATATAAATAAAGATTGATTTTTGATGGAATTTTAATATTGGTGTTTTGATGCATATTTAGAGTAAAGAATACACAGTATGTCAAGAATTCATTAAAATGAAGTCTAAGTGGTTTTCCAAAGAAAAAGTAAATAAAGTATCCTTCTCTGTAAAATCTGGAAGTATCCTCTCTGTTTTGTTTTTTTTGGAAGCAGGGCTCTTAACCAAAAACAAAAAATGGAAAGAAAACCAACATTAATGAAAATAAAATAAAATAATGAACAGAAACATTAATTTAAAATGACCTTTAACCAGCTAACATTATTTTATATGTCTGTTAAATATTTTAATTTGGCTGTCAGAATACAAATAGTAAAATGTACAAAACCAGTGAAATGCTGTAATCATCTGTCCACAAAAATGTTGCCAATTATACGAATTTGAAAATAAAGCATAACCAGAAATTGTGTTCCTGAAATGCAACGGCTCATGCAGAGATGGAGTTTACAGTATTTACTGTGACCCAGGTTGCCAGAGTCTAGATAATTAATGGGAAACAGTTTAATTGAAAATGAATGGTATGTAATGTTCTGCATGGTGTGAGCTTTAAAACCAGCAATTATTGCTGGTTATAGCATAAAACGATCATTCATGAATGCACGGGTCTTGAAGGACACTAATTTTGTATGTTTAAACAATATTGAATCATAGAGTGATTCAGTAGCCTGTACATTTTTTCCTCATAAGTTTACATACCCCTTGCAGAATATGCAAGATGCTACACATTTTAACAAAATAAGAATTAAAATAAAAATTGCATGTTATTTTTTTCATTTAGTACTGTCCTGAATATGCTGTTTCACATATCAAAAGTTTACATTTAGTGCACAAGAAAAAAATAATAACTGAATTAACACAAATGAACAAGTTCAAACATACCCTTGAGTTTTAATACTGTTTTGTTACTTGGATGATCAACAACTGTTTTTGTTTGTTTAGATAGTTGTTCACGAGTCTCTTGTTTGTCCTGAGCAGGTAACCTGTCCACTGTTCTTCAGTGGAAAAATCCTCCAGGATCCTGCACATTTATTGCTCTTGCACATTTCTTTTGGTTTCATTTACAAAACTTTAGAACAATTGAGAGGCTCACACATAACTATTACAAAGGGTGCATCCCGTCATTGTAATGCTCCTGAAGGAAATACAATGCATTAAGAGCTGAGGACTAAATGTAAACATCTGTTATGTGAATAAGCTTATTCAGGACAGTACAAAATCAAATAAAAATGTGTTAAAATTATTGACATCTTGCATATTCTGAAACGGGTGTGTAAGCAGAACTGTATGAGCATCTATTTTTAATTAAGCTAACGCACAATTACTATACACTGAACTTCTAGGAAAAGAGAAGCATGAAGAAGGAAGCTGAATGGTTTTACATCCCCACACATTTTAGTTGAACTACTAACAAGAAAAGTGTTGAGAATGCACATTTCACTAAATGAAGAGGGTATATAAATGTCAGTAAAGAAGGAAATTGAGATGGACTGGTGAAAACAAGCTTCTTTTGAAGAACAACACAAACTATTAAAGTGGTGAGTAACAGACAGTTAGTTCTTGACTACCTTAGTGAAAAATAAATATACTAAAATATATTTAAAAAAAACATTTATTTCGTGCTAAGTATACTACAAATACATTTACATATAATGTACTTAATAAAAAATAGGCTACCCTGCAATTGTACTTTTAGTATACTAAACTGGTATATTTAAAGTCTGCTAAATTGGAACAACTAATTTAGTATTAAATGCACTTTAATGGTGTGGAAGTAGTGCTGAAGTCCAACTAAAGATATACTGAAGCATATTTGATTGTGCTAAAGTGGAACGATTGCAAGTATACTTTAGGTACCCTTTAAATATTTTGCATTTAAAGACCAATATTATTTAAAGATCACACAATCCTCATCAATAGTGACATTAAAACATATTTTAGACTTAATATTAAGAAATGTGCATTGTGCACAAGTAGTACTCCAAATGAAGTTTAATTACAACTTGTTTTATCAGTAAGTCTCAAGCGATATGTCAGTAAATATGTTAATAGACTTGAACTACTTAGTATAAAATAAATGCATTTTAAATCTATTAATTTTTTACTAGGGTAGATGCTTCTTTAATTTCACTTGTTATGGATAGCACTTTTTAAAGTTTGCTTTTTTATTGACTTCTGTATTGTTTTGTTAGCCCTGTGTTATGTGATCTTCATTTTTACTATTATTTTAGTCCAGCAACTGATATTTGCCTAATTTGTCAAATGCTTTACTGTGAGATCACATGGGGATATTGTCACAAGGGCTATATCTCTCAACATAAGGTTTTGCGTTAAAGGTCCATTTACACGAATGTAGTTGTAATACCTACTTCTGTCCTTCAGACCAATCAAATTTTTCTAATAACAGTTGAGTAAGTTAACACAAAAACAAACAACAACAACAACAAAACTTCAGTGCGTGTTGAATTAAAGTTTTTTTTTTCTTTCTGGGCAATAACAGTGTAAAGTTATTATTTTGTGGGCAATAATTATTTATGAATAAGTAAATACATACACAGGCCTACTCTTCCCTGAGAAATAATTAGTGAAAAGACACATCTAGCCCATTACCTTGCTTATGCATAATCCATGCTTCTTCATGTGCTGATGCTGTCGCTTCTCTCCGGTGGTTCAGCCAGAATTGTGCGGGATTTTGAGAGTGGCTGTGGCCAATTTTTTGCAAATGGAAGATCACCTACAAGATTTCCTGGACTACAGTACAGACAGATCTGCCAAATGCGAAAGGATGTTGATTATTATGCCACATTTTATGACACCGAGAACAAGATCCCTGTGTACTCAGCCTACAAGTTTGAAGGGATAATGCACTGTAAAAGACGAGCTAGTTGGTACATTGAACCTCAAGTAAGTGAAACATTATTATTTAATAATAAACATTATTATATTATTATCTAAATTAATTCTGTTTACACTCTAGTTTACACCAATACAAAATGTATAGTACATAGTGAAATCTTACCATCCATTACTGAAACACAATCCATCCTAATAATACCATGACAATACTAGAGTAGAGCTTTAGTAATAACATCAAGAAGTGTCTGTATTGCAGTGAATTTCTTGAGTGAAGTGCTGTAAGTCAAATCGACATTTAAGGCTTGAAGAAAAAGACATGGCTTAATGTAGAAAACCATACACATAAGCACTTCATTTAGTAAACAGAGAATTAAATAACGTAGATGAATGATTCCAAAGTAAAAGAGTTTGCTGGTGTAGCATGTTTGTGTTAACACAAGTGTGTTGTGTAGCAAGAAAAGCTGAAGGATGAATGCTGCCTATGAACTGGAATGTACTTTTGTTTTTTGCTTTTTCCTTTTCTTATTTCTAGCATTCTCAAACATATCTTTCTCTTGATATAATATTGCAGATTGATGATAATAATGGAAGACCAAACATGGCATCTGAGGGGTCTGTGGATATACAAGTACGTGGAGACCGTCAAGCTCTTAATAGAGACTATTACCGCTCTGGATACCACAAAGGTCATCTGGCACCAGTCTACCTGGCAAACTCACAGAGCTGTGCTTATGCCACCTTCACTCTCACCAATGCTGCTCCACAAGCTGATTATTTTAACCGTGTTTTATGGTGGGATGTAGAAAAATCGATGGCACAATATCTGGAATGGGGATGTATTGGAAAACCTTTATAGAAGAACATTTCAGTTGTTTCAATAATAATAACAAAAGCAGACAGGGGTTACATAAAAATAAAGCCTCACCGAGCGACTAAACTTTGCAAACATTTTTGAGACATTTTACTATAATCACTATAATATAATATTATAATATAGTTTCATTTTTAAGTTGTTTCAACAAATCTTAAGTTTGCATTCATTTTTAGGGAATCTATATTGAATGATATGTCGCATTTCTTGATCAGAATGACAATTATCTGTAAAATTATAATGAAAATTATTTGATTGTAACTTTTATCATTATAATGTCTCAACTGTAAAACTATTAACCGCTAATAAAAATCATTAATACTGCAAAACTTGTACTGAATGCTTGTAGAAAAAGTACATGTGCATTTGCACTTGATTACAGATTTTGTTAACTTATATGGTATCTGACTGACGGTATCAGACAGCACTGTAAAAATAAAAGGTAAGGACATCATCGTTATAGACGTTTCCATTAACCCTAAAACATAATGCAACGAAGTGCAACTAAATAAATAAGGGAAATTCCTTCGCTTTTTTTGTTGTTGTTTTGTTTTACAGAGAATCATATCAATTGTACCAAGCTGTCTGTGATGATTGCAGGGGCTCTATATTTTAACCAACATCAATGGAGAAAAACAAACAACAAAAATTTCAGAAAAAGATAATTTTGAGTTTAGTTTATTAGAGCAAATGAGTAAAGATTTCATTATGATTGATTTTGGATTTTATTTACTGGATTGAATTTGTCTTGACTCTGAACTGGTCATGGACATAGCTGCAATTGCTAAACAACCTGCAAACTTCAACAAAACCTACAAGCATAGGCATTCTCAAAATGACAACCTCCAATCTTTTTCTAGCCTTTTCACTTTTTTTATTGATAAAAACAGTGTAAAAACAACAGTAAATGACATGATGAGAGGGAAAGGACTCCACAACTCGTCCAGTAGTCAACAGTATAGTCAATTTAACATGTCAGTCAAACAATATCTTTTGGCCAGAATAAGATGTTTTGCGAATAATGAAACTATTTGTTACCTAAGCTTGGTTTAAGGTGAAAGTGGAGGGTCATAATTTGAAACAAGACACCAACACGACTATATCGACCAGTCATAAAGTAGAACTATAAAGCATACCTTAAACTGAAAATTATTAAAAAACCAAAAGCTACAAAGCTCACCAGAGCAACTGATGAACTCATAACAGGTGAAATGTGAAAAGACCTTTAGGAAATATTAGGTATTTATTTGTGGTCTGAAGACAGGTGGCTTAAATTTTGATAAGCTGAATAATGCATCAAACGAAATGGTGTATTTCTATTTAGAACATTTCAGTGATCATCTCTAACTAATTTCAGAGTGGTAAATTTGATGTTTTGAAACTCAAACTCAAATCTTTACTACAGTAATTCAACTTTAGTAGTCAACATTTCTAAAAACCTATTCAGTATAGCTTTAGTCTGTTTAAAAACATTTACTATATTATGTATTGTATTAGCATACGTTCTGTGCAACCAAGTGACAGAAAAATGTGTCAAGTACATGCTTTATATTGCATTAAATGTAGTAGTCATTTAGTTTTTTTGGTGATGAGGGATTTAAAAAAAGAAATATGTAAAACCCCAAACAGCTGATTTACATTTGAAACAGTGTTGATTTTGTGGTGATTATGACAGAAAATATAAGCACAATTACTGAAAATGATTAAAAAACAAAAAGCTACAAAGCTCGCCAGAGCAACTGATGAACTCATAACAGGTGAAATATGAAAAGACCTTTAGGAAATATTAGGTATTTATTTCTGGTCTGAAGACAGGTGGCTTAAACTTTGATAAGCTGAATAATGCATCAAACGAAATGGTATATTTCTATTTAGAACATTTCAGTGATCATCTCTAACTAATTTCAGAGTGGTAAATTTGATGTTTTGAAACTCAAACTCAAATCTTTACTACAGTAATTCAACAATTGCATTCACATATTTTCTCAAAGCATACGTGATAACACTTACAGCCCTAAATCCCGAGTGACAAATGTTTTGTCATAATTACTCATGCATCAGCCATACTCACCTGCTACTTCTCGCTGCTGAAGTGGCACCTTGCCGGCCGCCTGTATCATTGGTACAGAGCCAAGGTAACCGTTACTGATTCCCAGCATCAAGGACAGGCCGCAGGGCCAGGCTGGGTGCGCCAGCAGGGGACGCTGCACGGGCGACACGCACATCACAAACAGGGGCAGGAAGACAACAAGTGACAAATGTTTTGTCATAATTACTCATGCATCAGCCATACTCACCTGCTACTTCTCGCTGCTGAAGTGGCACCTTGCCGGCCGCCTGTATCATTGGTACAGAGCCAAGGTAACCGTTACTGATTCCCAGCATCAAGGACAGGCTGCAGGGCCAGGCTGGGTGCGCCAGCAGGGGACGCTGCACGGGCGACACGCACATCACAAACAGGGGCAGGAAGACAATGCGCAAACACGAACACACCAGCAGCTGCACACCACCCCACTCATATGGACACACTGCCAATATCTAAAGAGAGAAATAAAGAACTTTGAACATTTACCATTTTTAAATCATATGCTTGTACATGACATCAAACAGCTTCATTTCACCTTGCCCACAAAGTCTGCCATGTTGAACAGAGCCATGGTGAGAATAGGCAGCCATTCTCCCAGTGTATCGTTGCGTAACTCTGACTCCAAACCAGGGAACAGACACAGAGTGATGAAATATGTCACCAAAATTGAGAGCATATAGGTCCAGATCACTCGGGCAACAGCACACCTCTGACCCAGCAGCTCTATAAGAAAGTCATCATATGCTATGTCAAAAAACTTCAGTCCTAAAATTCCAATGTTAATTGAACTTAAAGCAACAGTTCACCAAAAATTAAAAGTTGCTTACCTTCAGGACACCCAAGATGTAAATGATTTTGTTTCTTCATCAGAACAGATTTAGAGAAATGTAGCATTACATCACTTGCTCACCAATGGATCAATGCAGTGAATGGGTGCCGTCCAGAATGAGAGTCCAAGCAGCTGATAAAAACATCACACAAGTAATCCACACAACACCAATCCATCAATTAATGTCTTGTTAAGTGAAAAGCTGCATGTTTATAAGAAACAATTCTATTATCGAGGTGTATTAACTTTAAACCGTCGTCTCTATTTAGTCCATAATCCATTATAACATTTCCTCCTGTGATTTGTAAGTCGCTTTGGATAAAAGCATCTAATAAATGACTAAATAAATAAAATAAATAAAAAGTCCATCCCCTGTTGTCCTCTCACATCAAAATCCACTGACATATTTGATTAGAACTGTTTTGGACTGATTTTGCTCGTAAACTGTGCTTGATCTGTGCATATTTCTCTCCTGATTCTATTCACGGGAGAAAGCTATATTATAGAGGACTCGTCAGTCTGAAGTTAAAAATGCCTTAATGATTCATTTGTTTTGTACAAACATGCAGCTTGTATATTCCGTCTCCATGGGAACCGTTACCCAGATTAACTGCATCAGCTTCGTCAACTGTGCTTGACACCACTCCATCCTAATTTGTGGAAAAGCCACGAGTCAATGTCAATTTTATCTTTTGTCTCAAAATCTGGATTTAATAAAAAAATCTTACATATTGTGCCTTTAACTGATGGACTGGAGTGGTGTGGATTACTTGTGGATTATTTTCATGTTTTTATCAGCTGTTTGGACTCTCATTATGACGGCACCCATTCACTGCAAAGGATCCATTGTTCAAAGTGTTGTCATGCTAAATTTCTCCAAATTTTCTGATGAAGAAATAAACTGATCTACATCTTGGATGGCCTGAGGGTGAGTAAATTCTCAGTAAATTTTCATTTTTGTGTGAACTGTAACTTTATTTTGTGGATACTTGTGGATTATTGTGATGTTTTTATGAGCTGTTTATTCTCTCATTCTGACAGCACCCATTCACTTCAGAGGATCCTTTGGTGAGCAAGTGATGTAATGCTAAATTTATCCAAATCTGTTCTGATGAAGAAATAAACTGATCTACATCTTAGATGTCCTGTGGATAAGTAGATTTTTAGCAGACTTTAATTTTGTGGTGAACTATTCCTTGAATTATTATATTAATTACTATTACTAAATTACTGAGAATCTTTATTGATAACGATATGACTAAAAAAATGCAATACGGTAATGAGAATGGGGTACAATAATGTGAAGTAAATATTACATTTATTCTAATATAATGGTTATAATTTCAGTCATGTGGTGATGGAAGTTCGGCTCACTCTCTCCAGTCATCACGCCCTGTGTGTACCTCTTGGGCAGCATCCCAGTGTAACCATAGAAACTGGACTGCTGCACTGTAAAGGTCAAAAGTCAATGTTTACAGAACACAAAAGCACAATGTAGGCCGATGGAAAGAGCATGATTGCTTGTATATATTCACCTGTGCATCCAAATGCAACAATGGCAATTGCAGCCAGAGTAAGAGCATAGGACTGCTGAGTGTCAAACAGCTCTAACCAGACGTCAAATACACTCACAAACACCAAAGGTCCCAATGCAAATAGATATCCTATTCATGCAACACAGGATATTTAGTAATTTTGCAATTGAATAATAAGAATATGTGTGCGTATACATAGAAAATGGTGCGAAAGAGCTTGTGAATTTTATTAATATTTTGAGGTGGTTTTTGCATGTTCTCACCCACACAGATGCGAGTGTTTAAGCTCAGTCTCTCCACGAGTGCGTTGTTCACAATGACAGCACTGAGAGCCACCAGAATATACGTCAAACTCATGTCGAACACAATAGAGGTGCCTGACAATGGAAGAGAAGTATTTTGACTGTGCAATGCATAGTTGTCGCTTATCCACCTACAGCTCTGTGAATTAAATTTTGTCTTTCCTGTGATGTGCGACAGGTTGCATCACACCTGTGAATTTGCGGTGGAGGTAGTCCACATCGGTGATGAAACTATTGTATGGCAGCAGAAAGCCGACACCAGCCAACAGCATGGCAAAGTAGATGCCATGGTAGCGATCATCAGGAATGGATTCCTCTGAGTCTGAAAATAAGACATGAGCTTATATGAATAGCAACCAGAATGACAGAGCAGCTAAGGCCTGTTATCTATACATAAAAATCAGCTCTTTTTTGTTGTGCACAATGGTGTCTTACACTAATGCAGGGTTTCCCAAAATAGGATTTGCAAACCCCAGGGGGTTTGTAAGGAAACTGCATGGGGTTTGTGACTTGACAAAAAAAGCTAATAATGCGAAAAATAAAATTAAAATAAATTATTTTAAAATTCAAACAATTGAAATAAAAATTACCAAAAAAGATTAAATATTTTTCTTGTTTATTATAAATATTACAAACCAACATTGGAGAACCATGAATGTATGTGCTGTTGAATAATTGAAATATTCACTTAAAATCTCAGAGGAAACTTCAAGTATTGGATGGTAATGGATGTCAAAGGGGTTCGGCTGACAAAAATTTTGGAAATCCTCGGGAATTGAATTGAATTTTGGGAAATTCAAGCATCATATCCATATCCATATCAATGATAACCTCATGCATGCATCATATGCATCAATATATATGCACTCACTGCATTTTGTAAGTGCAATTTAATGCATTATTACGTATGTGCAATTTTTTTATGGCCCGGTTATTGTTTGATATAAGTTGTGTTGTACATATCTGTAACTCACCCTGAGCACTGTGAGGTTTTATCCTACCCGTCTTCTCCTCGTCTGGCAGCTGACTAAAGCTGAAATTCGTGATCACAGACTTCTCTCTACCCTGCCGATTCCTGCTCCACTCCTCGGAGTACATATCTGGAAAAATGACAGAATTCACACATGGGAAATTTCATGCTGTCAAGAGACAGATGAATTCATTGGGATTGTCATGTATGCTTATAAAATAACAAATCATAACAAACATAAATAATCACATGATAAATTTGTGTGTATGTGTGCATATAGATGCTAGTATAGAGAGGACTTACAAACGTTTTTTCTCTATCATATCTAAATAATTCATTCATGCTGCACATTATAATGTAGTGATATCTAAATTCACTTGAATATTGACATTAAAAATACACCTAACCAGAGAAATATAAACTGGAGTAAAAAGTGTGACAACTTGCCCCAGTATCTCCACAATGCTTATAGACCTAGGCTATGCTGTGCAGGAAAATTCAGTTCTTTTGTTTTATGCAACCAAGCATTGCAGTGGTTCTATATTTGTTCCTACACCTGTTTTCCTTGAAGCATCTGGGCATGGATGTGTTGTTTCTCTCCTACCAATTGACTTTGGACGCGCGGTTTAATTTTACGGCATGTTATGAAACCCACTGAGTCAGTTAGTCTAGGTGATAAACGCGAGATTAACATTATTGACACGTCGAGGTCACCTGACAGATCCACCACAGCTATTTTTAGAAATATGGAGCCTCAACGTCAAGCCTGTAGTGTAATTTTTACGGCGGGAAAGTAAAATTGAGATACTATATCACATTGCTTTTGGAAAGACGGATCATTTGTCTTGTGGTTATTTGGCATGTCGCTATACATATTCGCAATTAAATGCAATCGACACGTACAGTATGATAATAACTGAACATTAATCAGAGCTGTCGCGCGCTCTCGTGAATGGATAACAGGTCTCTTACCTGATGTGCCAATCTCATTCACTTCCTCACACGCGAATAATCTTTAATTACGATCCAGGGTCTAGTTTTCAAGCGATGTTGTTTGAGGATGCTCGTTTTCTGCTCCTTCATTCCCTCTCGAGGCTCCCCGCCCTCCTGCGCAAGTCACGGAATCATCACGCGCTTAACAATTGATTACCGGGGCTAGTTGTCACACTTTCTAAGCATGGGGTTCATTTCTATATTAACACATACCTTACAATCTTGGCCACAAAACATTATTGAACATTTCCACATAGCCCAGGAATTTTTT